ATCTCAACTGGGATACCATCTATACCTGGGGTCTTATTTTTTGCTATTTCTTTCCATGCAGCTTGAATTTCTTCCTTCATCACCATAGGCTCTTGCTCACATGTCGTTTCATGAAATTCTTCTGTGTCTGCCAATTCCTTTCGATACAACTCAGTATATTCTTTCCATCTTCTTTTGATACCTCCTGGATCATTTAGTACTCTGCCTAAAGCATCCCTGATTATAGCAACTCGAGGTTTTAATCTGTTCGTCAGTTCCTTGAGCTTAAGAAATGCTGAGCGAGTTCGACCTGTTTGGTTTTCTGACTCCAGCTCCTCGCACATTTCATGGTAATATTTTACTTTGTCATCCCGCGCTGCCTTTTGAAATCTTCTGTTCAGCTCTTTAGTATCTTGAATTCTTCCTTGTGCTTTGGCTTCTTTGCGCTCCAGTAGAATCTTCAGAGTTTCTTCTGACATCCATTTTGGTCTTTTCTTCCTCTTCTGTCTTTGTAGTGAACGTTTGCACTCTTCTTGGATGATATCCTTTATATCCTCCCACAACTCATCTGGTCTTCGCTCATTCATGTTCAAGGCCTCAAACCTGTTCTTGAGATGGTTCTGGAATTCAGGTGGGATAGACTCAGTTATATTTTGGTTCCCATGCATTCAGTTTAATTTTCCTCAGCTTCAGCTTGAACTTGCATATGAGAAATTGGTGGTCTGTTCCACAATCAGCTCCAGGCCTAGTTTTCATAGCTGATATTGAACTTCTCCAGCGGTTCCTTCCGCAGATGTAATCTATCTGATTCCTATGCATACCATTAGGTGATATCCATGTGTATAACCTGCGTTTATGTCTCTTTAAAAATGTGTTTGCGGGAGCTTTGGTGGCCTAGTGGCAAGAAGCTGCACTGCAATCCCAGAGGAACACGGTTCGAATCCACCAGACGCTCTGCCGGAGAAGGAGGCGCAATATCCTCCTGTACCAGTCAGATCTGATTTGACGGTACACGCACACAAAATTAAAAAAAAAAATGTGTTTGCGATGAATAAGTCATGATTGTGCAAAATTCAATCATTCTCCGAGTCCATGTTTTCCAACTACTGATTCTTCTTCTCTGTTCCCAACTTTTGCATTCCGGTCACCCATTACTGTCAATGCACTTGACTGCATGTTTTCGATCTCCGAATGTAAAAGCTGGTAGAAATCTTCTATTTCCTCTTCCTTGGCTCTGGTTGTTGGTGCAAATATCTGAATGATAGTGGTATTCACTGGACTTCCTTGTATATGTATGGATATTACCTGTGTCACTCACAATATTGTACTTCAAGATGGATCTAGAAATGGCTTTTCTAACTACGAAAGCAACCCCATTTTTCCTCACCTTTTCATCTCCGTAGTAGTAGTATCATATGATCATCCGATTCAAAATGCCTCATGCTGGTCCATCTCATCTCACCAATGCCTATTTGTGTGTTCCATTTCCTCCTTAACAATATCTAATTTTCCTACATTCATGGTTCTCACATTCCATGTTCCAATCACTAGTGTCTGCTTAAAACTGTTCCTCTTCCTTTGTATTTCCATACTCAGTTGCTCTTCCTGTCATTCCACGTGTGTTCTGTTGTACATAGGGTTTTCAGAGGTCTGCTATTTTGGAAGTGGATGGCCAATCCTTCTTCCTAGTGTGTGTCAATCTGAATGTTCAGATTTAGAGAAGTATCCAACAGATAAGCATGTGCCTAAATATGGCATTATGTATTTTGAAAGTTACATTTATGAAATCTAAATGTTATCAAATTACTATTGTATTTAGAAACCAACTCTCTAAAACATGCTGGTGTATTTAATTTTATCAGTGAGTTCTTGTTGGCTTGATTTCAACTCACAGTTAATTGTGTGCTTTTTAAAAAATGGGGATTTGAGTAAAAGTTTAAAAATCAAATTTGTTTTTTATGCAACCATTCCTACACTTTTTGTGTTATTAACAATGTGGACACTGAAAGGACACTTTCCCCACATCCCCATAGTACTCATTTTTTCTTAATTCCTCTATCTACCCCTCCCAGACTTCTGGGCTTTATCCTTGTTGCCCTTTTGACCTTACATGGTTTTGAAGCAGTGATCTTTTGGTATATCTATCTTCTAAGGTATCTTTTTTTGGGTCCGCATAGTCAACTTTTTGACTAGTAAGTCAAATACTAAACCATGTGTTTGCACCATCCAGAGATTCCGTAAAGCTTACAGGACACCGAAAACAACAAAATATGTAAAGGAAAAAACTATAAAGACAAACTACTATCATTTTACCTCATAATACTGAGACTTACATTTTTTTTCTGTAAACTGATGAAGCAAGCAAGATTTTCCTACTCCCATGTCTCCTGTTTTAAAAAAAGTTTCAGAGTAAAATTACTTCTGTTATGAATGTTCCATCTCTTAACCATATTACATCAAAATCTAGATCACTTAGAAAAGTTGACTTTCCAAAGAATTTAAACGATCCTGACAGTCAGTATTGTGAACTACAAATTGACAACCCCAACAGTTAGAATTTAGAACTGACTTATAAACGGAGACTTAACAAATTTTCAGGTAGCCTTGAAGAAGAAGTAATATTCCTTCATAAATTACCCTGAATTATTTATTAGGCAAAACCCCCAATTGACCTTGAGTCAGAGCTGACCCTCCAAGGCTGTAAATCAAATGGGAGCAGAACGGTCATCTCTCTTCTGAGGAGCTGTTGGTGGAACTGAAATGCCAGTGAGGCATGGTCTTTGGATGAGCAGCACAAAGCTCTCTAGACAAGGCCACTGGAGCTCACCCAGGGTGACTGTTGGTGCAAAATACTAAATATCAGGGAGCTCTGGTAGCCTAGTGGCAAGAAGCTGCACCTCAATCCCAGAGATACGCGGTTTGAATCCATCAGATGGTCTGCTAGAGGAGGGACAATCTCCTCCCGTACCAGTCAGATCCAATTTGACCACACACACAAAAAAATAAATTTTTTTTAAAAAAAAAATCTAAGTACCTAGGGCCACTGTTAATACAAAATAAATTTTATCAAAGAAGCATTAAATGTGTACTAAGAAAAGTATTCACTCCTTCAAGTGATATATTTGTATGACTCATCAGGAGAAAAATGAGCAATCTCCCTCTTGTAACTTATAGCCTTGGAAATTTGTTGGAGATCAAAATGAGCAAGAAGTGTTGAAGAATATATAAATATTTTGTATATAAATCATAAGGGAATAAACATTCATGTTAAATAAACTTACCAATAATAATATATTTAAAGATGTAAGAGTAGTTGTATGGTGCAGTTGCCATGGTGGCACTAAAAACAAAGAAAACTCTGTTATTTCAGAAAGAATCTTATATTATCCAAGCTGATCACTGTCATCCTTCAAAAAAATAAAGTGCAGTGTATACAAACAAAATGTTGGTTACAGTAACTCAGAGCACATTTCTCAAACGAATCAATATGCAGATAGTGATTAATTTTATAAAACATAATGGGAATGACTGAAACACAATATGAATGAAAGATATTGTGAAACAATGTATAGGAACTTTACAAACAAACCAATATAAAAATTAAAAAAAAAATTCTCTTGGATTAATGTTACAATAATATTTCACACAGATACATGAGATACTACACCAAAATAATAGTAACAATATTTTTTTAGGAACTACCCAATAAGAAACATTACCTTGACATTTTCAAATAAGGAGATCTTTATAAATTTAAGTTAAAGTTGATTATAACTAGCCCTCTACCCTTGTCAACTAAGTGTCTACTCAAAGTCTATTTGAACTCTGAATTTACATAAAATGGAATATAAAAAGTAACCACTTACAAACACAAACCAATTATTCTACTTTAAATCTGTGATTAGCCCAGCATCCAAAAAGTAACATTAGACATTAGTCACATTAGACACAAAACAGTTGTTCTTAATAGATTAAAAATAAAAGGGAAAGCGAAAGTTTATTATTGGCAATTGCACATGACCAAACCTAATGTAGGCCTTACAGAAAATAACAATATGTAAGTGTTTGTTATCTACTATTCTAGGAGCGGAGAGGAAGAGTGACAAAAAACAGTACTATAGTTATAAAATTTAAAAGCTTATTAAAAGATTTGTCAAAATATCATGAATCATTCTTTACACTCATAGATTTAACCTACAAGTCTAGCTTTTCTACTACTTTTAATAACTTAAGAGAAAAACAAAACAACTTGCCAATTTATTCAAATGAATGCCTTAGAATGAGCCAGAAACTGTGCTAGATAATAGAGAAACAAAGAGTAAATGTTAATACAGTAATGATGGTAACTTCCAATGAAGTTTATTCTAACAATTTTCAGCTTAAGAGAAAAATTCTTCACATATAAAGAGATTTAACCTCACTTTAAAATTTTGATCCATGGTATTTTATTTATACATGTTTTATTTTTATTACTTTGATAAGCTGTCAGGTTATACAGGTTAGATGTGATGTGACTGTAGAAGTTAATTTAAAATTGTAACACCTTATTATAAGCCCCATTTCACATGACATTTCTATATCACAAATATTAAAAAACCCTTAAACTAAGAGGACTATTTTTAGTAAGAAAAAAAAGTTGTTAATCACAATAAATTACATCATATAATATTGCACTTTGTGTACTATTAAGTAGGGACCAACCCAGAGCAGACCTTCCAGTGGATTTTCAGGGGCAAGCAGTGTATCACAATGGAGGAGATGGCCCATCTTTCTACCTGGTGGATCTGAACCATGTACTTTTACACTGGCATCATGAATCCCTTACCAATAAGCCACCAAAGCTCTTCAGCTGAATTATATTCAGTAAATGCAGACACCTTATTACTGATTATTATCAATTGTCTGCATAATAAAATAAAACAAAAAACAAAAAAATAAACCTCCCTTAACCAGTTCTTAGAGAAAGGAATGTTTTTCATGTTAGGTTAACTCTGGATCTAATATTAAAATAGATTCTCTTTTTTCAGGCACTAGAGATCTAAAACTTTTAAGAATGAACTAAAAAAAGAAAAAAGGGAGCTCTGGTGGTCTAGTGGCAAGAAGGTGAGCTGCAATTCTAAAGGCACATGGTTCGAATCCACCAGATGGTCTGCTGGAGAAGGAAGGGTAATCTATCCCTGTGCCAGTTGAATCTGACTCGATAGTGCACAACTGGGGGGCGGGGAGGGGAAGAATGAACTTGATCCTGATGTCAAGATTCTTCTCAGATTTCAAACATATAGGGGAAAAACTTACACTAAAAGTTGTATTTAAAGATTATTAACTTCTACTCACATCTATGCTTATTGCTGGTTATTCACACTGCAAAAGAGATGGAAGCAACTCAAGTGACCATCAACAAATGAATGGACAGAGAAACTATGGTGGATTCACATAATGAAATATTATGCATTGAAAAACAATAAACTCGTAAAACATTACAGGAAGCCTGGAGGACATTATGCTGAGTAAAATTTTTCAGTCACAAAAGGATAAAAATGCATTAACAGCACTGTTATAAAATAGGATGGGGAGGGAAGAAAGAACAGAAAAAGAGTGGATAAATAATGAACACTGCAACAGAATAGATGAAGGGGAACAGTCCTAAAGGAGTATATGATTATGCATTACATGTATGACTGTAACACTCCAGAACAAGGGATGAATTATGAAGTAGGTGGGCAATGTGTAACAATGAATTAAAAATATCAAAATTAAAAAATATTAACTTCTAGACTAAAGGTCATATTTTGGATCACTGGAACTATTTTTACTTTTCTTTAGCTTCAGTTTGAACTTGTACAAGAGTAATTTTGATGGTTTGGTCCAAAATAAGCACCTGGTCTGGTTTTTACTGTTGATATTGCACTTTTTCAATGATTCTTTGAGCAGATATAGTCAATCTGATTTCTGTGCAGTCCATCAGACAAGTTACATGTGTAAAGTCACCTTTTGTGGGTTTGGTTTTTTTAAAAAAGGTATTTGCTATGAATAAATCACTAAACATATGCTTCTTACCTTCTATCCTTCCCACACTTTCTTCAAATTAGTTTAAGAAAATAAATGCTTTATAAATAAATCCTAACTCTATTAAAGCATTAATGCTCAAACTTGGAGAAAAGGCATCACTTCCTGCCTTTTTATTGTTTCTTGCACACTCTTGATTTTCCTATTTTGTTTCCTTTTTTTTAACTAAAAGATGTAGCTGTGCCTTTCTTCCTTGTTTTAATAAGTGAAACTATAGCCTAATTTCAATTTCTATCCCAAATGCTTTAGAGGATAATTTATGAATTTATAATCCAATTCTAGTTATGCAACTTCTATACTTGGTAATGATCACACAAAGTATTCTTTAAATAAATATCTATTAAGATTTTAAATCTCTATAACTAGTTTTGAAATTTTTTTTAAAAAAAATTGTTGTAGGTGCCTCTGAATGGACTATGAACAACAGATGTGAATTCTGCCCTATTTAGTACCATCTTCGTCATCTCCAATATGCTACAGTCTATTGTCAGTGTATCATTCCATCTTGTTGGGGGTCTTCTTTGACCCTCCACGTTTCCCAGCCTGATGTCTTTTTCCAAGAATCATCTGGATGCCATGCTCAAAGTATGCTTCACCATCTTTTCCTTTAAGGAGCATTCTGGCTGCACTTCTTCTACGATAGATTTGTTTATTCTTTTGGCAGTGCATGGTATTTTTCAGTACTCTTCTCTAACATATTTCAAAGGCATCAATTCTTGTTTGCTTGCTATCCAATATTCAGATGCATATGAAGCAACTGAAAATGTATCAGGTGCACCTTAGTCTTCAAGCTCTTTTAAAAGTTATCAAGCATTTTTCATCTAGAAGGGTGGCTGGCTGGCTGTTCCAGCTATCTGTTAAAGAGTTTCATTTACTACCAGATAGAGTTTCATGATTCTGGCTCAGGATGGTAACTGTTGGACCAAGTGGTACTAGACAAGAGTGGTGGACTGATTTTCACACAGAATCTGCAAAAGTGTCTGTGTCTTAATAACAATCTGTAATATGGATTATCTAGAATGTATTAATCTAGAATATGAATTATACTACTTTCTGGATTGGAGTATTAATGACTGCTATAGATGTACTGCTTTGACCATTACTGCTATGATAGGCTTTAATGACCATAGAACCGTCTATGAAATGTCTACTCACATTTTGAAAATCTAAGGCTTCAAAATAGCCAACATGCAGTTGAAGCTGAAACAAAAGAGGCATCTAAAGTAACCACTTCATGGAAAGCTTTATTAAACCCGGTATCTTTGATCCTTTAGACTTTTTAAACTCTCTTGAGCATTTTTAAATAAAATAAACTCTTGACTTTTAGGGGGAAAAAAGTTACCAAGTGTTAATATGAAGTCTCCCAAATTAAAGCAAATAATCACTATCTCAGGCTGAATACCAGCATTTTTTTCAACACTTCACATAATTCTCTGGCTCAAGTGTTTGGTTTTTTTAAATTACAAATTTAAAAATAAACTCTGAAAGTGCAATAAAAGAAAACTACTCAAGAAAGGAGGGCAAAAACATTAGTCTTTGTACAAGACACAGTTAAGTCTCCCATCCTTACTGTAAATTAAGATGGTAATTTTTAAAAAGGTCCCAGTAAGTCAATCCTGGCTGTGGGCAAGCCCTCAAGCTGCAAAGGAGAACTATATTCCATAGGATTGACTGGGGTAATGAGGGTAGGTAGTCAGAGACAGTAAAGTTGGCACAGGATAGAGGAGGTTTCAGGGCTCTTTTACTTGGGGTTTCTATGAGTTACAATCAACCCGATGGCACATTAACAACTACATGCTGAAGAGAACTGTATTCCTCCCTCATGCTGCAGAGAACTATATTCCACAGGATTTTCAAGGCAACTGTAATTTCCGGACTACAACTCACAGCAACCCAAAGAACAGATCTGAACCCTGCCCTATCTTGTGGCCATCTTCATTATTTCTGATAATACTTGAGGCCACTACTACAGTCACTGTGTCAATTCATCTTGTTGAGATGGACTGACAAAATCCATCTTATGCTGGTCCTCCACTTTTTCAAGGATAATGTCCTTTCCAAAGAACTGATCCTCCTAACAACACAGCCAAAATATATGACCACCATATTTGCCCCCAAGGAGCACCCTACTGGCCTATTGTTATGTGCCATTGAGTCACTTGAAATGCATAGCAACCTTATGTACAAAAGCTCTACACCCTGCCCTATCCTGTGCCAACCTTACTGTCTCTGACACACCTACCTCCATTACCCCAGTCACTGAATCCATTTCAT